ATTTGTGACAGTGTGGTACAAGGGACCAAGGGACACAGGCTAACTGCTGATTGACAGATCCAGGCAGGGTGGCACCAGTAAAAAGTCCGATTTGAGGTTCAAATCGCACACTCGTTATCAATCTACGGTGTGATGAAATGAAAAACTTTTTACGTTAACAAATAAAGTAGAAAATATAAAACTAAAATTAAGTAACAACATAATTAGTTCGAAGAATAATATTTAAAACGAAATCATCTAAGTTATGTTTTTAGCAATAAAATAACCATAACGTTGTTCGGCCAGTCAGTTCACTGAGTTGACTGACAAATTTGACAGCGTGACAGCAACATATCAGGAATTCAGTTAATTAATAATAATAATAATAATACTTTATTTCGGACCAACAAGTTATCCATAGTTTGTTAGTAAAGAACTTAGGAATAAGGTTAGTATGATGCTATTCAAATGCTAACTTTACAATAAAATAAGATAATTTTAAAAAAATGGAAAACAATAAAAAAAATTTACAATTAAAATTCAAAAAAATAAACCACGAATTACAACATTAAATATAAAATTATAAAATTGAAATTAATTTAACACACTCATGTAAAATTAAACTAGGATAGAAATATTTTGTTTATGCGTCATTTTCGCACACATTCAAATTTCAATGCGGTGTCATTATTTATTATTGTATGTACGTCTACTACACAAAGGGTCGTATTCCAGAACTCTACTCAATGCTCAAGTCATGACTTGAGTATGATTTAAAGCACTAGAAATCAAACTCAAGGTTTGTGCTCAAGTCCTTGCCATTAGGGTCATATTTCCAGTGCTTGAAATCATACCCTTAGGATCGTATTCCAACTCTACTCAATTTAAAGAAAAAAAAATAAAAAATTTAAAGCACTAGAAATAGGACCCTAATGGCAAAAACTTGAGTATGATACGACCCTTTAATGTTTTATTTTATGTATTTTATTAATTTACAGAAAATTACATTTCTACAAATGTTTGTTAATGAGATTATTATAAGTTATTTAATTATATTTTAAGTTCAGTTATTTATAAATCAAATTTTAAAGCTCAAAAGCATTGACTTACAATTATATGGACGTCGGGTCCGCGCTAAAAAGTGTCCGAACTTATAGGGCGTTAAAATCGTATACAGAGCGTCATTCACGCTTTAGTCTTCGTTTGATCGACTGACAGTGAAGCAAGCAAAATTAGACAGTACTGCGATGACATTACAATTTAAATTCAACGTTTTATCTTTTTCATATTCCTTTACATGTCACTACGTTTAAATAGGTCGACTTGGGACATTTTTTTCGTGGTTTTTGTATTAGACCCGTCGTCCATTTATTTGTAAGTCAATGATCAAAAGGCATTAATAAAATTATTTAAACAAGAAAGGTGAACTTTGCATAAATTATATATTTTATTTTTGAAATAGTAACACTATAAGACGCCGCCGTGTTGACGGCAACGTACATTGTTGCGCGAATTTTTACTTTTGTTTATTTTATTGTTGTGCGGGTCTATCAATTTTTAAATGTAATGTAACTAAACCTTACATTAGATAATCTCATATTTATTTATGAATTTAAATTGAACTGAAAGAGAAGATAATATTGACAAGATGGTTCAGGTAGGTGAAAATCACTCGTCTCTGGAAGGACCATGTGACAATGAACTAAAAAACAATTTTATTGCATTTTGTAATTCGTGAAGTACACTTTATTTATGGTACTACATTAGTAACGAAGGTAATAATTAATTAGTGACGTTGACTGTTCCAGGCTGTAGACGAAGTGGAGCAGCCTGATCTGACGCAAGCAATAAAATTGCTAAAGGAAATGAACTCGAATGTGCAACAAGTCTCCCAGCTCGTAGACAACATGGTGACGCGTGTGAAAAGCGGCGAAATGTCCACTGACAAGGGACTAAGCTTCTTGGAAATGAAATATCAAATGCTCCTAAGTTATTTAATCAACTTAACCTATATTGTACTTAGAAAATGTTCAGGAGAAAGAATAGAATCCGATCCATCAATCGACAGACTCATTGAAATCCGAACTGTCCTGGAGAAAATAAGGCCAATTGACTCTAAGCTTAAATACCAAATTGACAAACTTGTTAAAACGGCAGTTGTGGGGTCTACTACTGATGATGACCCGCAGTCTTTCCATGCTAACCCTGACAATCTAGTGAGTAAGATTGGTGGGGCCGAAGAAGACTCCAGTGACGCTTCAGAAGTAGGTGATGAAGGTGAAGAAAAATCAACGAAATCAAACATCTATGTGCCCCCTAAATTGGCAGCGGTACACTTTGATGAATCAACTTCGAGAGTAGATAGTGAAAAGAAAAATAAAGAGCGCATGAAGAAGCAATTATTGAATTCAAGTGTAATGCGCGAACTTCGTGAGGAATATTCTGAAGCCCCATTAGAAGTAAGCAGTGGAAACCATGTGAAACACTCAATATCAAAGTTGGAACAGGAGAGGACAGAATATGAAGAAAATTATTTGACCCGTTTGCCTGTCACTAAAGCAGAAAAGAATAGAAGAAGAAAGATGACAACAGTCGGCATGATAGCAGATGAAATTACAGGACGTAGTACGGCTCGTAAACATAAAATGAAGTCTAAAAAGGGCAAAGGCTTTAAGAGAAGGCGTACCCATTAACTTACTTTGCCCATGATAAATTTTTTGTATACAAGGTAAGTTACCATCGGCATTGAATTGATCTGAACAAACTAACCAAAAATATGTACACAAATATCTCCAAAGTGCTCAATATCAACTAGATTTTTACTTTCCCATATTTTAATTTGGAAATTGATGTTGAATATATCGAGTTCTAAGGTTTTCGTGATTGCTACAATAGGAAATGAAACTATTTTTCTGGATTTAAATATTTTGAGTTTTCAACCAAACCAATGTTTCAGGCCCTTTACAGGGCAGTCAACCATGACCATCAGACCTGTAAAGGGCCTGTAACATTGGTTTGTTTAAAAAAAACAAATATACGCGATTTCAATCTGGAAATATAGTTTCATTTCTTAATGATGAATCCTTTAAAATAATGTTGATTTTTGTCAAATGTTCTGGTATTTTTAGCTCTATTTAATATAGATAAAATTTAGCACTTTGGAGGTGAGTTTTTTGGTTAATTTGACTATTCAGATAATTTTGACTCAGTTGTACACAAATTCAATCCAAACATAATTTTGAATGACTTGTTGAGACATACAAAATAATTGTTAATTACTGATTGAATATTTTATAAAATAATTATGCTAAATTGGCCATTTTCCTACAATGAATCATAAGATTTTTTTAGTGGATAGAGATGCAGGAGATTTTTTAAACTTAAGCATTAGTTACTATATTACCTAACTGTTCCTAGAAAATAATGGAGTTCTAGCAAATGTTGACACAATCACCATCTGGAATATAAATTTATTTATGATAATTTTGTTATGCCTATTCTGTTTGTCTGTTGTTACCGTTCAAGGGCTTTGGGTTACCTGACATATTATAAGGGCCAGTTTTAGTTAGCACCTGAGAGCGGATGATAAGCAAAATGTGTACTTTCAGTTAGCAGGGTATTGAAACAACATAAACCTGTTCACACTTGAATTTATTAGAGTTACACATTTGTCGAATAAGTTAATTTATTTTTAAAAATAATATAAAAGTTTGTAACTTGTTTTGTTAAAAATAAATTTCGTTTGTGTTAGTTATTATTTGCTTCACTTTGTGTTTGGTATTTTTTATGTTTAAGGAATTAAATTAATTATTAATTAAATGCCAACTTGTTTAATTTCGTCTTTATCCAGCCGTTCAGTAAGCTGAGGAAATGGTTCACATGTATAAGGATTGAAGGTCTGATTCTTCTTTAGACGCAGTTGACGAATGTGTCCAATAGGCGTATGTGTGTCCAAACATTGGTAGAAACCTTTAGGCGGTGCAGTGCCGTAATTTTGCGTCCTGTCCGAGCATATGACGCGATGGAGCAACCAAGGAGGGTTTTCCATCATAATCTGCAAGTTTGCGAATTATATTAGTTCATCAATTTTATCATACAACATTTTGTAATGAGATGACGTAAATCGTATTGATGTGAAAAATCGGCATTCCATTATAGTATTATAGGCATGGTATATAATAAATAAGACAACTACAGGGTGGCCCATTTTCACGACCCATTTAAAATAAACATTAGTTACGCGAAAATCAATAGCTTAGAACCGTGCTCAACCGTGACCTTGGGACTTGCAAAGGGCCCGAAACGTTGGTTTGTTTGAAAAAAACAAATATGTGATTGAAATCCGGCAAAATAATTTCATTTCCTAATAATTTTTAAGTTATGTTTCACTTTTCAGCCATTACTGTCCCACTGCAGGGTAAAGGCCTCCAATCTGTGCCGCTAGCTCGCTGTAGACTAGGAAGAAAGAGGTGCCTGTAGTTTGCAACAAATTCCAATATCGCGTTTCTGAGTTATTGGTGCGGTACATAGTGTACACTTGGTTCACTCTCGACCCTACCTTACTTTTTGAAAATTTTCTACTCTCGCCACTAAAACCACTAGTAGTCGGAAAACTATTCCACTAAATTATTTGAAATTTGGTATGGAAGTAGTGTGACTATGTAGTAGCATGCTATGAGCCATTTTTGTGTTTGTTTTTAGATTGCGCCGTTATTTTAGACATTTAGGAGATTTTTTATTTGTTCAAAATGTTAAATTTTCGAAAAATTCCTGACCGTGAAAAATGTACAAAATCAGAATTTGCTAATGACCTTAAAAACGACCTTAAGATGTAGGGATTGTTTATATATTATGATTGTAAAATTGTAGTGTTGCAACTGTTGTAACATCTTTATAAATTGACATGACGTGCACAGAGTCACTAAAAATCAAACAATTTTAACTTAAATAATTTCTCAAAAGAAAACATGAGATCAACTCAGACTTACCATAATTATTATTAAGTCAATATTTAGTATAATGTACACGAAAAGAAAATCTTCAGAAACAGCTAATATTTTAGCCCAACTGACACAGAAAACTAATTGTTGTGTGGAACACACCCGAAGTGTAGGCATTTATGCGCTCAACAGGCGTATTACCACGTACCTATATACTACGTAAAGCGGATCAAGAAATAGAAAGAATTTAAATCATACCCGTATTCATAGGGCTATGATTTAATTTTGAAAATATTTTATTACATATTCTTTAATTTGCCAAATAGGTTTCCATGACTAAGAAATTGTAATTGCCTACCGGTTTAGAAACTGCAGGATATGGACTCCTATAATCATCCTGTTGGGTCGTCAAATAATCCATAACCCCAAAATCAGGCGGGAGTTGTGGCAAGTTCGCTTTCTTCATTAACAAGTTTCTTCCAGGAGTACTAAAATGTCAACTATTATTAATTGCACAATAACTTAAATGTATTTCTTTATCACACAAGTTAGAGAAGGGTCAAAAGAAATAGTAGATAGAGTTCTGCATGCTGTCTTAAACCACAAGCATGTGTATGTGCTTGCATAGTGGTAGATTGTATTATTATGTTACAAATAACATTTTTCTACATCAACATGTCAAAGTTTGCGTAGGTAGATATTTCGGAAGTGTGTCTTAAACATACGACTTTGTTGACTTACTTAAGAAGTGGTAAACTGTGTTATACAGCGTGACCCATTTACAGTAGTATAAAAATTTGTTTAGGGGACATTGTAACGACCCGTTCAAAAGAAACATTAGTTACAACCACTCTAGTTTGAAAATTAACCCACTAAATTAATTGGAATTTGGTATGGAAGTAGTGTGACCGTGTAGCTAGCATGCAATTAGCCATTTTTTGTTTGTCCTTAGATTGCACCGTTATTTTAGACATTTACATTTTTTATTTGTTCACGATCAAAATATTACATTTTCGAAAAATTCCTGACTGAAAAATGTACAATAAGAATTTGCTAAAGGCCTTAAAAACTACCTTAAGATGTAGGGATTGTTCACAAATAAAATTATAGTGTTGCAACTGTTGTAACATCTTTATAAATTGATATGACGTGCACCGAGTCACTAACAACCGAAATTGAAAATTTGTATCATAATCGTTATTCGAACAATTTTAACCTAATTTTTCAACTCAGATTTACCTTAATTATTATCAAGCCAATCTGTAATAGCCATTAATATGCCTTATTATTATTATAGCCTGTACCTATATAAACTAAATTTTTCTACATCAACATCAAAGTTACGTAGGTAGTCGTTTCGGAAATTCAGTTCTTTGGTAACCTTTTACATGTAGGTATGTATTTAATTTCTAACTTACTCAGTACAAGGATAAGAAGTGAAATTAACAAGAGGTTTGAACGAGTATATAGGATCGGTTTTCGTGTGAATTTGAGCCAGCATGTGTCTGGTCTCAGTCATATTTACACCGTGATCGTCAGTACCAAGGCGGTTGTAAGTGCTCATATGATTACTCAGTTGATCCCGATAAACATGGTTGTCCTTTTTTGCTGCAAGTAACTCGTTAGTCCAATGTTCCACTTTTACTTTTGGTCCATACGTATTCTTGCAAAACAATATTTGAGCAGGTTTTTTCTGTTTCACGTGCATTTTCTTCTTTTTAAAATTTATGTATGTATTTAATTAGTTTAAAATCAAGTAAATAATTGCCTACAAAATATAGATAGAACAACTTCAGGAATTGCTTGAACTTTCTGAAGATTCCAAATCAAATCCAAAAATCGTATCTCTGTAACTTGTGGTCAAAAGCATTGACAAATATTTAAAATATAAAATTGTGTCTCTGTGGTTTTAGCTGGAATGTTAACAAAATGTCTAGGCATAAATCTTTTTAAAATTTTTGTCTGTTTATCTATATGAAGAATAAATTACATAATGGCTGAATTCTTCATAAAATCTTTTGAGATCATAACTGTTAGGAAACAGAGAGAGTATTTTTTATTTAGAATCTGCTGTTTGTTTAATCTCAATATATTATTATACAGGGTGTTAAAGTTATACGAGTAGTATGTTGAAGTTTATATGGGAAACAGACTCCTCGGCCCATAATCCTAAACTTGGTAATGAACAGTGTTGAAAGTAAACAATATAATTCTGCTTTTTTGGTTGTTTAAATATCCCTCAGAATTAGGAAAACATGCTTTTATAACCTGAAAGTGGGAATGAATACCGGCTACTGCTCAAAGCAAAACAGACAAAACAAAACACAACAGACAAACAAAACAGACAGATAAAATTTTTCGAATTTTACAGATAAGATCCAAAAGGGATTAAAACAAGTTTTTACAATTTGTATGGTCACTTCACTTTTTATTTTTATGGCTCCATCAATATGAGAACTGATGATTTTGCCAATGTCACAGTTGAAAGAAAAAAAACGAAACAAAAAAAAAATTTCGCTAAGCTCTAATAGGACATTAACCGGTGTTGGTAAGTTGAACTACGGGAGTACTCAGTTGAGAATGTAAAACAAAACAGCAAAACAATATTTATAAATATATGTTATTTAAGTGGATAAATTTACATAGAGTAACAATATGGGGGGAGAACACTAAAGTTAAGAGGTTGTTTATGTTAATGGGGCGGGGGAATTTTGGAGAAAGTAAGTTATAAAGTGGAACAGCAATATATCGTATCACTGTATCAGATAGGCGGAGAAAGCTGCGAATGTCAGCTAGTATATTACGTATTTATAATCATTGAGTATCCAAAGACAAAATAAAGGAAAGGAGATACATGTTCCTTGGTATACTAGGGCAGTATACTGCCGTCGTATTGTAAGATCATTTCGTCGGAACGAAAAAGGGCACAAGTAACATTTTTTTTCAAAATTTAGTTCTACACATAGTTGGACTCAGGAAATAAAGGCCTATGCTTGTATATAATTATTGTACAATTTTATCTCAATTTTTGTTGTATATACAGTAAGCTCCAAAAGCACAACTGACATTGAAAATCAGATTTTCTACCAAAAAAGACACATAAGTTTATACCTAAACGTCATAAAGGAGCTGTATATTTCTTTGGTAAAATTGAGGCACGACAAGTGCGAGTGTCTCTAAAAGTTCATTATTCACAACCCAGACCACATTCGACATAAAAATTGCCATGGACGTAAAAATACGAAGTCCATCATGAAAGGTACATTTCAGATTGTAAAAAGTACATAGAAGGCGTTGACAACTAAAAACTAGCACACATTTCCCGACACCGTATATTTTGTTATTGACCTGGAAAAAGTAATAGTGCTTTCTTATATGGAAGAATTCAATATTGTAACGTTTTGTCCGCGGATAATTTGCTCCTGGTGAAAGAGTTCGTCCAGGGAAGTACTGTCACCTTACCTATTTCTGCCACCAAACAGAAATGTTAGCATTACTGCGTTCTGGCTTAGAAGGGTAAGGGTGCTGGTGAAATTGCAGACACATGGGACTTATCAACTTATGTCTCAAAAAAGAATTGTTCTTAACCATAGTGTTGTTCCTATAAGACATAAACAGAGACGTGAGGCGGGTCAAACCTTTACAGCTATTTGGACCGAAGGTATTTCAGGGCGAAAACAAGAGGATATAATTAGTTTCTTCACAGAGCTTTTTTCCTACATAACCTTGACCAATGACTTGAAGGATACACTTTTGTGACTTAACAATTGCGCAGCTCAGAACAAACAAAAATTTGATAATAATACGACTCTACAATTGAACTTCGACACACGGTACTCCGATAATACTCAGACTCTACGCTCATCCGAAAATATGTACAACGACATGATTTTACGCAGACACTATGCTACTTCGACAAACAGACGCAATGCTCCTTAAAAATCTTTGCACTCCCATAAGAATGATTATCATTATAAACCCATGTAAGAAATGATTTCTTATATAGATCAATATAACAAATAACTTAACAGATTATTAAATTTGACGTCTGCTGTCCCAATTTTTTTCTTCCGATACAATAAAGTCGTCCTTATAAAAAGCTGAGTCTATTAGCATTAAAAAAATAGTCAATTTATGAAATGTGTGTAAAAAAATGTGTGAAAAAATATTTTATGAAATTTTACCAATTACTGCTGTCCCGATTTTGTCGTCCCATACAATGAAATTATCCCTCTTGAAACTGTCGATCAGCACTAAAAAAATTTATAAATTTTACTCATTAAGTACAACTTACGCTTGACCAAAACATTGACTATGCCAAAATCATTTTCACAATAAAAACCGACCTCAAAAGTACGTGGAATTACGTCTATTTGCTAAGTTTTATTGAAATATCCTCTAGTTCGCCACTATGCAGAACTTGACACTGAAGATTATAAAAATCGGTTCTCACTACTCAAGTATGTTGAGAGAAAACGCCTTGAATTGGAAAAATAGCAAAATCAACCATTAAAATAATTGCTCATTAAGTAAAATTTAGGCGCTATTTATAAAAATGAATCTTCATGCGTGAACACCCCCCCTTAGAGGTGGATGATTTTCTTCGAAATGAAATGGGACCACTATGGAAGTACCCCCTTTCCAACAGAAAAAGAATCATGAAAATCGGTTCACAAATACCGGAGTTATCGCGTAACATACTCAAAAAAAAACATACAATCGAATTGAGAACCTCCTCCGTTTTTGAAGTCGGTTAAAAAAAGACAATGGTTCAGACATTGTCCTTGTGTCTTCTACGGTTTCGGATTTAACCATACTATCCCATTAAATAAAACACTGTTTAATTAATTTTAAAAAGTCGACTATACGATTTTGTTCTTTTTTTTTGTTGGAAAGAGGGTACCTCAGAAGTGATCCCATTTAAATTTGAAGAAAATATTCGACCCCTAACGGTGGTAAACTAGGGGATGAATAACTTTTGAGATCGGTTTTTTTAATACTCTGTACTGAGGTTAGGTTATTTGTTATATTGATCGATATAAGAAACCATTTCCTACATGGGTTTATAATGATGATTATTCTTATCGGAGTGCAAAGATTTTTTAAGGAGCATCTCGTGTATGTCGTCGAAGTACCATAGTGACTGAGTAAAATCATGTCGGAGTAGCGTAATATCTCAGTAAAGTCATGTCGATGTAATATATTGTTGGCGTATCGTGTGTTGAAGTTCAGTTTTAGAGTCCACTATTACTCCTTATTTGGTTGATCTAGTGAACTCTTCAGCAGTTAGTTTCGAGATTCTTAAAAAATTGAAACGAGTTTACGAGTTTGCAGACTTTAGCAAAGCAGTATCCGATACTGGCTCAAAAACCGAAGTTAAGAATATGACGGTACATGAATTTGAAGACTGCTTGTCAACATATAAGCTACAACATTCGAAACCTCGCGCCTATATGAACAGCATTTTGAAGTTACCTTTCGAAGAAGATTTTAATCACTATTGTATAAAAACAATCACGGCAGAGAATAGCGATTTGAGTTAAATTTTCTTAAACTGCCTTATCGTCTCCACATCAAAAGCGTGTTCCGAGAGGAGTGATCAGAAAGGAAGTCTGCAATACTGACTATGCTCGGTCCACTCATGCCTGCTATAATAGAAGAGTGTTTTGGGAGTCCTTACCTGTTAACGATGGTTCTGCTGACCCCAGGCAATTCCATGAAGATTCAATCTTTACACAGAAAATAACAAAGGCTATTTATTAAATATATATAAATTCTTTTTTGTGCTGTTCGTTGTTAAGGTGATCTGATTATGACACTTTTTAAATTTAAAAGTTTGTGCCATGTTTCCACTCTGATAACTAATATCTGTTTTATATTGTAAGTAAAGTTTAATAAAAGATATACCGAAAGATTTTACTATTATAACGTAACTGTGCCCTTATTATGTACTTCAGTTACAATAATTACTTCGTAAAAAAATAGGAATGGCACAGCTGACTGTAATTGTGCCTTTATAGTTCGATTACAAAACGGGTATTAAAATTAAGTCACAAAATGTCCAGTTATGCCTGATCTGTTATGCGAGTGATTTTTGTCACTAGTCAAATTTTAATGTTTTGATCGTTGATGAAAATATAATATACGTGTTTTATTATTTTAGTATAACCCAGTACTACAATGTTGAGATATTACCTCACAAATTTATTCAAAAAACGGCCACGTGTTTAGATATTCTATACGGGAAACACTCCGGCCGATGTAATATTGTAACGTTCTCCTCGCGCCTCAGCTCCGCCCATCATCGCCCGCCCGCCACTCGCTATCGTACTCAAGGTCAGTGCGGCGATGGATCAGTGGCGCGTGCCAACAGCAAATAGAACTTATTTTCGAACCTTGAGACACGTGAGACAAAAGTACAATTTGACGACCTCGGCGGCCCAACAGTTAGTACTGTGCTAGATGAGGAGGTGCCGGATTCGATTCTCGGTAAGACCAATTTGACTTAAAACTTAAGACCAGATAATTAGTGTAGTTGTCTGGTACGTTGTTATTATCTATTATCTAGCATAAATCATTTAATTTTAATTTCAATTAATTAAATTTTTTCGACCAGTTCGTTTAAAGAAACAAATTATACGATTCGACAGGATAATAAATAAATAAACTTGTAAAGCTTGCCAAATAACTAGTGAACAGTGAACATTTTATATTAAAATAGTGAA